AATTTTGAAAAATTAAATAAAAATAAAAGTAAAAATGAAAAATAATTTATTTAAAAATAATTGAACATGAAACTTTGACAAAAAATATTTAAAAGGAATCAATTAAATGTATACAAAATGTGTAAGAGTCGGTGCAATATTTTATTGATTAAATAATAAAATAATATAATGTATAGCTATGTATGTAGGTAATTCTATTCACAAAATATTACATATACGAGTACTATTATATTTATTTTTATATTTGTTTATGATTTATTTTAATTATATTGCACTTTTTTTTTTATTTCATTTGAATATTAAAATCATATTATCAATTTTTATTATAAATAAAATATTTCAAATTGCATATATTTATGTAATGTAAATGTGTATATATATAACAATTCTCAAATTTGAACATATAGCAATATAAAATTTTTATTAAATTATAATATTATGGAAATAAATAATTTTATTATAATTATAATAGAAGATTTTAAATGGCAAGAATAATATTACCATGTTCAATACCATATTATAATGTATAAGTATGTATATATGCTCATATATTAGTATTACGTATCTTGCTGTAGTGCTAACTTATAATGGTAATAATTTAATAAGTTAAAATCAAAAATAGAACTAGTAATAAAACTAAAAACAAGTCTTAAACTAAAAACCTTTCATAAAACGACGGCTGAAAACTAATTGTCTTTTAGTACAAATCTCGTTTTTTAATGCATTTTCAGTGAGAAAATTGAAACTGCTGGCATATATTTAATGCAATATTAATAAAATTAGTTAATGGTTATTTTTGGTTAAAAATGTAAGTACTAAAATTATATTATAAGAAATGCTATGAAAAAGAAATTCAAATATTTTTTACTACGTCAGCTTTTTTTTCGTTCCATTTAAGGAGGCTCTAAACAAATAACATGACCTTATGATACTGATATAATTATGATGATATAATTATCTATCAGGCCACCAGCCCAGAAACTAAACCAAAAGTAATTTCAAATTTGTATAAAAAGTCTCAAAGGGTGTTAGAATTATTTTTAAATCTCGGAAAAATGCATTTGAATAAAAATTTAATTGCTAATTTGAACAGATCTGGCCTTTCCTGTCTGAATTATCGAGAAAAATTGATTTGATTTAAAAATTGAAAAAAAAAAATGCAAAAATGTCAAAAAAAAATATTTTAATCAGAATACAACGGAATATAAAATATTAACCATTGTGTCATACATTTTGTTACTTCAGAATACTTTATAAAATAATTTGACTTTAGTATGGTGGTTTTAGAAATACATACGCCTAATAATACAAACATTTGTCTAATGTACTGGACTTAAATTATTAATGGCAAATGTACTATTTATAAAAGATTAGTTTGATCAACGCCGTCGCATTTCTACTTCAACCTAGTTAAACTAATACGACTGGAATTACAGAAATGAATCACTATACAAATGTGTATGTACATATGTAGATAAAACAAAAAAACACTTAGAATTACATATTAAATTCAATAAAACGACAAATACCGGATATTGTTCATAATTTTTAATTATTTTATAACTTAAAAATTGGCACAATAAAAGTATAGAGTCATAAACTTATGTATGTGGTCTTCTTAGTCAACTGAATTATTTGAAATTTTTTTCTTTATGGCCCCAACAATTCTAGTGACTATTGCAATTATACTATGCGTAATATTATCGATCTACGAAAAATTAAATTAAAAGAGCACCGAAAATAGAATTAGGCGAAAAAAATTAATAATATCAAATTTAATTTTACATTTTAGATAAGCAATTACATAAAAAAATACAACACCTTTTCAAATCTGTATCAAAACTTTTAATACAACAACTTACAGTAGTAGTGTTTATTTACTATAATTTGATGAGGAAAAAATACGAGGCAATAACATTAGATCGATGATACGAACCTATGTTTTATGATTATACGATATCGAACTTTGTTTTTACCTATACCTACAGAGTGATAAGAAAACACTTTTTTGGTTTTTTTTTGTTTTTTTTTGGAAAAAACTAAACGACAATTATTTATAAATGATTAATTATGTTATCGATTAGCTTCCGGTCTTTTCAAGTTTTCTTCTATTTAATTTTTTGGTTTTTATTTTTGGAACCCTTTTAACTTGAATTGTCTGATTATTTTGTTTTTGAATCATAATTATTATTGTTTTAGATAAAAATCAACTACCCCCCAAAATGAATTGATAAGAATTTAGTATAATTTCAAGATTTATTGACGTATTGATTTTTTTTTTTTGGAAATTATATTACTAATGGAATAAATCACTTCTAGACAGCTTGTGATTAAAAACAGTGATTATTTATTATTTATAAAATAAATTCCAATTATTTACGAAATGATTGAATTTTATGATCAATATAAAAGTGATGAAAAGTTTAGTATTTAAAAATATCTTTTATTAAGGGTGGCGCCTTTATTCGAAAATTGGTACTGAGAAATTCAGATCCTACATTAGAATTGGAATAATTAAATTAAAAGACATTTACAAAAGGTTCACACATCGAAAACTAAAATTAACATTACAGGATATTGGAAAATCTAATTATTATATGAATGGTTTTAAAAATTGTTCAAAATTTTAACAAACTAACAGACATGCAACAGTAAAATTTTGTTCCTCCGACCCAACCTTAACTAACTATTTTCATACACACACACATACGTTTATAACATATAACAAATATATATTTCGTACATATATGTATGTATGTATATACAGTGCATACATAAAATATTATTCTTACCAATTATTTCAATACTCATGTAATTTGTATTTTTATACTTTTAAAACTTCATTTTATTTTTTAAATGCAACTATAATAGGATAAATTCGTCCATTTGTATTGAAACATTTTACGATCTTACGAAATATTAATTTATTATTAATTATATTATTTATTTTTTTAACTATAAAATAAGTATTTAGTATATTAAAATAACTTGTAATCATATAAATATTTTAAATCATATAAAAAAATTTTATTCGAAATCATGAAGGCAAACATTATTCAAAATATTATAAATAATATTATAATGTAATATGTATTGTGTATATAAGTATTATATATTCATATATTGGATAATGCAATAACTTATATTTTTTTGGTATTATGAATTACTTTTGAAATGGCACCACAAAATTATTTTCAATATAATTTGTTGTATTTCCTTACAAAATTAGATACTCAATAATAATAATTTTTTAATTTAAAGAAGGTTTCAGCATTATTCTAATACTTTAATTTAAAATATGTTTGTATGTATGAATCAAAGAAATTTGGGATTAGTTATATTATTTTTAAGGGAAAATTATTACTTCAAAATGAAAATGTAAAAATAATATAAATTACTAAATATAAAAAAAAACAAAATTATAAAGTGAAATAAAGCCAAAATTAATAGAAATTATTGGTTATGAACATACATATACGAGTATATGTATATATAATTATCTATACATTTATAATGTTATACATTTAATTAATGTTTAATATGACAATTTGAATTCGTATCAAAAAATGGATTTAAATTCTTCTTACATACTAATCAATTCGCAAGAAATTTTTGTTTTATATTTACATCAAATATATTTATTTACATAATGCATATGTATATATATATATATATACATATATATAAATAATCTAATAATATATTAATATCTTATATAACTAAATCACCACTTCAATTTAATAAAATTTTACTTTTTATATTAAATTTTTTTTTTTTGCATTTTTTTTAATTTTGGAAAAGTTTTGTGTTTTTGGAGAATTGTTAAAATATTTTTATATTAAATTTGACTTGTAATTTTTTTTTCTTTAATATTAAATACCCATTTCTTTTGAATTAGCTATTTTCCTTTACATATTTTTCCAGTCAGGTGAAATTTTCATATAGCTTGATATTATATAAAATATTTTTTCTTGTATGTGTACACGTTTTGAAAATTATAACATTTAATCCATAACATTTAAAACTGTAAGTATACAACGTCTATTAATAATTGAAACAAATTTAACATTTCCGACGGTAAGTCTTATATAAAAAATTTATTCTGGTCCTGAAAAATTTGTTCTGAATTTCTCCGAGATTGCAAAATAAAAAACTTATAATATATCTAGTGGTGTTAAAACTTTTGTTTTTCAAAGCAGCCGGCATGAATATTTAAAAATTAAATTATTATTGCATATAATATGTTAAATGTGAGTTGGCATTATTTTAAAAGTATGCGCATAAATACGCCTGATGTCCGAATATCCCTATCGTTGAAAAAAATGTCTCTCTAATGAAAATTATTACAGAATATAATTGGAAATAGCCCAGATCTACGTTCGTAAATTGATATTTTCGAAGTTTTGAAATTCTTTCATAAATTTATTCATTCCAAAATAATACACCCAAACCAAAATAGACGGGTATTCGACATGTAGGTATTACGTTTAGTACTGGAAGTTGTATTAGAACAAATTTATTAAATATAAGCATGTTTAAAATATTGGAAATAAGTATGTACGTAATTTTAACGCAAACTTTTAAGTATTTGATATTTTTATATTAAAAATTCAGGAACTAACATAAATATATAAATAAATATCATAAAATTATAACTATTAGGAATTTTAACGTACAAAGAAGTATTTTTAAAAATTCTATGAATTTGACCAATAGTAAAAAATAGTAAAAATAATTTATTATTTTTATTTAATTTAAAATATTTAATATTTAAAATTCAATAAAACTTCGCTTGATGACTTCAAAAGTCTGTCAACTTAAAAGAGCATAATACTATAAATGAAAAAATTAAATATTAACGAAAGCAAACCTATGAAAAATTTACTTTCTTTTTACTCGCACATCAATTCAAAATCGAAATATTTATTTATTTTACTTACGAGTATAGTACCAATTTGAGTTAGTAAATGAACAATAAAAGCCATTTATTGGTGGTAACCTTTTTTGAACTTAGCCGTCGCTTAAACACGCGTATTAATTTTGCACATTTTATTGAAAACCAACTTTATTATGCAACATTACACTTGACTACCGTACATATAATATACGTCATGTCACATTAGTCTTGGAAAGATTTCTTATTGATCTACGATCATTTATTTGTAAGTACATGTTATAGTTTTTAAATGGTATAAATACACTCATTAAGTGCCGACGCACTTAAGGAGTTTTATATACTAATTAGCATTCAAGTCATTTAATTTTCATTTCGATCTAACAATCTTTCACCCGACTGAAACCCATTTATTATAGAAAATAAAAAATGAGTGTTCTTTTTTATTTACTTAAAAAACGAAAAAGAACAAAGAGACAAAATGTAGCATAGGCATGTGGATTTCGGTATTTGCGAAGCTAACGTTAATTAAAACTAATTTGCGCGAAAGGAAATTAAAGAAAAAAAAAATATCCTAACAATATCAAGCACTGTCTTTAAGAATTTTTTAAAATTTTTTTTTTTGTTTTTCTCACGAAGTTTTTCTTTTGTTTTTAAAAACTATAATGAAAAATTATTAGTAAACTTAAAAGTAAAATATTAACAAACTAATTTTCATATATCGTAACTTTTTACTTTTTTTTTAAATTATTTATGAATTCTTTACATTACTTAATAAGCATTAATTAAATTTTATAACTACTTATAATTTTTTTATAATAATTATAACCGATATAACATTATTACGACAATATAAAAACAAAATTAAAAAACTCTAAATTTATGGTTTTTTCTATTCAAAAATTTTATAAATCATTCTTAAATACTAAAAATGTTAGTCAGCATCACAATTATCATCGCTCTTAATTAAACTTGTATTTCCATTGAAATTCCTATAAGAATTATATAAATGATGGTAATTATTATTTAAATTGAAATTCTGTTGTTGGCTTTGTAGTAAGAAATTATGCTGCGTTAGATGCTGATTGTTACTATTATTGTTGGTGCTGTTATTGTTGTTACTATTATTACTATTACCATTATAATTAGTTGAATTATTGTTATTATTATTACTGTTATCATCACTATGAAAATTATCATCAGCATGTAATTGCTCTTGATGTTGTTGATGTAAATTTTGTTCTTGTTGTTGTAACAATTGATGTTGCTGTTGTGATTGCTGATGATGATGATTATTATGATGACTGTGATGATGATTTTGATTATTTTGATTATTATGATGGTGGCGATGAAAATTACGCAGCATTTCACGTCCTTACGCCAATGGATACTGATGTCACAAGCTTGTCGTACCAGCTGGTGCATGATAGCTTAAACTTTGGTAATATGAATCTTGACCCAAGGCAGCATGTGAATTTGTTAATGGGCTTAATGCATTATAACTAGCATATTGACTCATATCATACATTTTAATATCAGCTTTTGATTCAGTTGGTAATAAACGATTTATTGAAAATGGATGACTTGATGGTGTATAACCAGCTGTCGGCTCTTGTTTTAAATGATGCATTGAATGATAATCACTAATTAAAGATGGATGACATCGATTAACCATTGCTGATAATTCTTCTTGCTGTAATTGTTGATGATGTGAACCACCATGGTGATGTTGCTGCTGCTGTTGTTGTAAACATAATTCAGCATTAGCTGCATGTAACATAGCTAAAGCTTCAGCATCTTTACTATGAGCTGAACTCAATAAACCAGAATCTACAGAGCCTTTGTGGTGATCACGATGACTATGATGATGATGATCTTCATGTAAATGATCTTTTTTACCAGGACTTGTTGCCTCTATACTACTATGAGATGGACTTTTGTGCATTTGTCTTAATGCTTCTTTCTTTTCATCTTTAAATCGTTTTTGACGTCTTAAATAACATCCATTTTCAAACATATTACCTGAGTCAGGATGTAATGTCCAAAATGAACCTTTACCAGGTTTATCTGGTGTTCTTGGTATTTTAACAAAACAATCATTAAAACTTAATGAATGTCGTATTGAATTTTGCCATCTCTGTTGATTTTGTCTATAGAATGGAAATAAATCCATAATAAATTGATAAATTTCTGATAACGTTAACATTCTATTCGGATTATTTTGTATTGCCATCGTAATTAATGATATATAGGAATATGGTGGTTTTGCATGAGTATAACTTCTGCGATAGGTTGTTGGTTTTTCAACAGCGGCAACAGCTGCAGCTGCTGCTGCTGCTCTAGATCTATTTAAATTAGGTGAACCGGTGTCTAAATCACGTGCCGTTAAACCAGTTGAATATCCAGTCATTGCAGCCATCGATGACATACCACTACCCATACATGAACCCATATTACCTAATGGTGAACCCATAGAACCATAACCCATTGAACTTGGAGTCATACAATTTCCTGTCATTGAATTCATTGCTGCTGCTGTAACGCCCATACTACTCATACTTGCGGCAGCTGAACCAAGAACACTTGAATTAAATGTTGTACCACTTTGTGGTGATACTGATGTCATACCACCAACTGACATACCCATTGTATTCATACTATATGTAGGTGCAATTGGACTCATATTACCATTAGTATTACTACCGCCTCCACCACCTGAACCATTTCCACCACCACCTCCTCCTCCTCCACCGCCCCCTCCTCCTCCTCCTCCTCCACCGCCTGCACCATTTGGCATACTACCTGGTGTGCTAGATGCAACACCCTCAGGGTAGTGATGCTTTTGCATTGTTCTCGTTAAATGATGGTAATAAATGTTTGCTGCTTTCTTTTATCTTTGTCAAGGTGAAAAAAATTACACTTCGTGTTGTTTCTATTACAGCTACTCTGCTTTGTTATTCTATTATTTACACCATCATAATTTTGAATTGTAAAAGAAAAAAAAAAACGAAAAAAAAAATGCAAATGTCAAGAAATAAATAAAAATGTTTTATTTAATATGAAATTTTATATTCATATTAAAATATAAATGTTTATAAATAAAATAAAATAAAGGAGAATTTGTGTGCAATTAAAACACTTCTGTTAAACACAATAAATAAAAATATAAAAAAATATTTTATTATTTTACCTTAGATTGCCGTTGGCAATTTAATATTCAACTCCTCTCAGTTTTATTGAAATCCTTTCTTATTTATTTTATGCACTTATTATGGTTTATTTAAGAACACAATTAATTGACTTCCAATTTTTTAAAGATGGTATTGTTATTCCAATTTAATATGTGAGTAAATATTGCATGAATATTAATTTATAAGTATTTAAAATTTAACCATTAATTGATTTCTTTGAAATTTTTTTAAATTTTAGCTTATCTAGCCTATTCGAAGGATAATTTTTAAAATTTTATGTATTATTAATAATTTATTTTATATTTGTCTTACTGTTTAATTTTAAAATTAATTCAATTTTAATTAATATATTAAATGAAACAGTTATGCAATTAATTATTTAAGTATTTTTTTCAAGTTTAAAATTTATTAATTCTTCAAAAACTTTTAAATACATACTATTATTTTATGATTTATTACACAGACGGTATAATGCTATATCAGATATTGCATATTTTATCTTATTTTTCCTTTATTTTTATTATTCAATTTTAATTTTTCATTAATGAATTTTTAAATTTTTAATTTATTTCAATTTAATTTAGTATAGCTTCTTGATCACTTTATTTTTTTTTATTTCATTTTTTAAATATTTTATCCATATGTTAAAAATTTGTTCGCATATGTATATGTATGAAATCTATATTAAAATAATTCAGAAAAAAAATTAAATTAAAAAAAGGTTATAAAAACTTAAGAATTTGTTTTAAAATATTTTTGATTGTTTTGAATTATAGCTCTATTATTATCATCATATCTAAATATTTTTCTTTAAAAATACTTGTATATTTTTATAACATTTATTTATGCACATATTATTTGTATATATACAATTTATATATATATATCAAGTATTTTAAATTGTTTTTATTTTATAAGAAAAAACAAACCAAAAATAATGTATCAATATACATACAATGTTTTTGTTATATTTACTCTAAGTAAATGTTTATTTTAGATTTGTTAGTCTTTTGAGTTACAAAATTGTTATAAAAAACAACAAGAGAAAAAAGAACAAAATTAGAATAAAGATGTAATATTATTAACTATATATATATATATATATATATATATACATTGTAGGTGTATATATAGGATGTTGAGGTTATATAAATATTTATATTATATATATATATACAATATATAGGTAACAAATTTTACATTTTTCGTTACATTTATTCTATGCTTGTTTTTTTTTTTCAATATAATATGTGAAAATTTTGAAATATATATCTTTTAAAAGTTTCTTTATTTCATAAATAAAAATTCAAAAATTTTATTTAATTTTTTTTTTATTTTTTTATATATTTTACAATAGAATGTATAGTTTCCGTATACTTTATTTTTTTATAAAATATGTGTATAATAAACTTTATAAAAAGTTGTATAGGTACTTCGGCACCTATATGTACCTATATCACGAATTTTGTAAAATTCATCGGAAAAAAAAAGGATAATGGTATTTTATTATTATATGTATATGTGTATTCAATGCGTATATGTATGTATATATCGTCCCTCGAATATGGAATGATGTGGATAATATGACGATATAGTTTTTCAAAAATGTCAATTGAATCAAAACTATATCAAAAACTTTTGAAATATTCTATGGGTATATGCATATATGTATATGTACATATATATATATTATACAAATTCATGTTACATAAATAATATACGTGTAAGTATATACATATACATATATATATATGTACAATTGATATGAATATTTATCAATAAATTCATATAACTTGCAACAGGTTTCATATATAACTTTTGTATATTGTTATATTTTATATATTTTTTTACTATTTTATTAAAATTTGTTTAAAAATTTTTTTCTTTTGTGTTTCAATTTTTTTTTTTCATCTTAAATGTTTTTTTTTTTTGTTAAATTTTTAATTAAATTTAGATTTTTTTAAATGAAAATGCATTCAAATTTTTTATATTCCTTGTGTCTTAAAATTGTTTTACTGTAATATTTTTGCCCATTTAAGAATTTTTTTAAATTTCAGTATTAATTTTGAAAAAGTTTAATTTTATATTTTATTATATGTCCAAATTAATATTAATTTTTTTAATACTGTTGATATTTAAATGTATTTTTTTTTTTAATTTCTCACGATTTCCATATTTTTCGTTTAAAATTTACAATTTTCTTTTCTATTTAATATTAATATTCTTAGAAATTTTACTTAGAAATTAAATATTAAAAAATATATTACCTATATATATTTTTATTCCCGGTTTTAAACAAAAAATAAAATATTCCAAAATTTGAGTTTATTCACTTATTTTCCAAATATTCTTTATGGATATTAAAATTATTCTTTTGTACACAATAATAAAAAGTTAATTCATTTTTAAATATTTTCTTAACTATCACCATTTTTACTATTTTATTATTAATTAGTAAACATAATATAAACTCATATATAGTTTATTAATTAAAATTTAGTGTACACGAATCAATTATATTTAATATTTAAATATGTACTTATATTAAAATATATTTAAGAAAAAAAAAACGAAATAATTCTAATGTGATATATTGAAAAAAACGAAATATTATTTTTTATACAAATATTTTAATTTGTAAAGAAAGAAATGAAAGCAAAAAAATTGTTAGCATTATAAATTTTTTTTTCTTATTTTTCCTCTATTTTTTATTATTTTTATTAGTATTTCTTTAAAAAACAAAAAAAAAATCCCGAAACGCACCACGGATCTCTAACAAGAAATCTTTTTCAAAACACACAGTTTACTAACTTTTGATGATGATGATGATGTTGTATTCGGTATTCAAAACAAGATGCGACTGTTTGCAGAGGGGAATACCTACTTACTATTTGGCTTAATAACAATCGACAATTCAAGTGTTCTTTGCTTTGGCATAAAACGTTTATAAAATAAAAAAGAAAATCGAAAATAAACGCAAAAAAAAAAAACAAGAATATAAGTGAAAAAAACACAACAACAAAATACAAAATGTTCGTATTTCATCTCTTTTACACTCAAAAAAGAAAAAAACAAAAATATAAAAAAATTTTTTTTTTTTTTTTTGGTTTTTATTCTTCCTTCTTATACGTTTGTTATTATTTTTTTTCTTGTCGTTTTCAATAATGGTTATATGAAATAACTGAAATTTTGTATATAATATGACGGTAACTCGCATAGGCACATACACATTCATAATAATAAGCATTAAATAATTGTTAAACCGTATTTCAATACATGACTATGTGTTGGTGAAAAATAATCGCATCTTAGTAGTAAAATTTTTCATTTGTATATGTATTCGATTTATTTAAATGTAAAATTGATATAGAATTTAATTTACAATATTGGAGTTGAGAAAAATTTTCCCATACTATTGGAAACTACATATACTTATGCTCTTTTAAGCTTGAAACCAAAGTGTAATGTATATGTAAAAAACATATGAAAAAAAAAAATAAAAAACAAAATAAAATTTTCTAATTTCTGTAATTTTGTTCCAAATCTTTCTCAATAATATTATCTCCTAACTTTACATAAGAAAGAGACAATTTTATGAAAGTACAGGAAATGGCGAAAGAGAGACGAAAGAGAAAAATGTATATAAAATTGCAGAATAGGTTTCTTGTGTACGAAAAGCTTTTCTCTTTTGTTTTTCAATAGTTTTATGTTGAATTTTATTAAATATGTTTATTGTATAAAATTATGTTTTCATATTTTAATAATTTAAAAAATAATTTAACAAATTAATATTATTATTGAAACGTTTTCGATTGAAATAAAAAATTTTAAATTTATTAAAGATTTTAATAAACAAGCGAATGCGCAATAATTACATATTTTTAAATTTGAAGACAAAATAGATATGTACATACTTTTAGGGGCACAAGATTAGTACTATACTTATGTGTGTACACATATCTACATAATTTAGAAAAAATTTTCAAATTAATTCTTTTTAATTTTTAATTTCTCTTCATCGTAAGTATATACGAACATAACTGCTTACATTGTTCTTAATATATACATATACATACATATGTGTGTGATACTTATAGAGATGCACAAGAAATAATAGTTTTAAGTGACAAATGACAAAAAGTGAATTTTCCGCTGGGTTCTTGTAATATACCGTCAGCATGAAAAATAATAACATATTATCTGAAATAACTCCAATTAACAACATTTTAGAAACTAACCTAAAAAAAATAAGGAGAATTTTTAATCAATATTATCTTTATAACATAAATTTATCCCTACTCCTTTAACTCGTTATTTGTAAAATTACTAAAAAAAAATCTACACAATAGATAAAATATTTTTTCATTACACTTTTGCTTCTTTTTTTTAGTTTTCCCGCAACACTAATATAAAAATATTTTAAAAATTAAAACAAGTTCAAAATTCAAACTGTACGCATGAATTTTTCTAAATACATAATTAAATTCTCCTAACCAAACAAAAATCATGAAAAAACGCATACAAGAATACAAGCGTCGAAGAGCAATAACACAATTATAATGAATAACGTTCACATATACTTTAGTCATTTTATGCACCACATAAACGAACAGTAAAAATACGACAACACAACGGTACGAAAATTTTTATTTCTTATTTTTACTCATTTTTCTTTTTCCTTTAGTTTTTTTTATCCCTTACAGAACCAATCAGACCTTTTGATATGGATTCGTTACCTTGGAAACAAAATTATAATAAAAATAATTTGTTTTCATCTTTTTATTTTGTTTTTCGGGGCGTTTCGTTTTTTATTCATCGTTGTATTACAATGTAAAAAAATAAAGAAAACATAAAAATTTTATATAAAAAATTTACTCTCTCGTTTTCTCTCTTTCATTCTATATACTATTAAAAAAGTATACCTTTATTTTTGTAACCACCTTTTCATCCAAAATTGTTGGTATATCACCAACAATTTTATTTTTTTGTTATTATTATAGATTGGTTTCGCTCTCATAAAATGACTGTTGGGCTTTGGTTTAGATTTTGTTGAGTGTGTGCGATACACCAAATGGTTTGTTGTTTTATTAAATTTTTTTTTTGTTTTGTTTATTGTTCTCTCCTTCGTTTTGAGTACGTAAAGAGATGTAAATTTCTGATTTATTCTCTCACCTGTGCAGTTTAATTTGAATTCAATTTATAGTCACTTTTTTCTGACAGAGGACATTAGATATGTATGTAAGCATTATTTTACTATTTTAAAACTTTTTGAAATACTTACATATTATGCTTATAAATAAGCGCCGCTACCTTATATACTTGCATTGTAATGTTTGTGAGGTAAAAAGCTTTATTATGTATGTATCTATAAGTTTACATTTTCTTTATGTTTCCTTTATAACTGGAATTAGTATAGCATACGAAGAGAATAGTATAATAGAGAAAGAAAGAATTTAAAGGGAAGATAAAAGTGGTAATACTTAAATTTCTTATTTTGTACTGTACACAGCAGCTGTCAAGATATATGTTTCTACAAGCTTTTACATAGATATATAATATAAGAATACAGTAATGATACAACAATAATTTCGATATGTCTACACTACATGTCTATTTGTATGTAGCTACATGGTGTATACATTTTCGGCTAGAATGCTAGATGAAAGCGAGTATCAGACATGCCATATAGCTATCGAGCATAATATAGCTTCTTATACATACAAGTCAAAAACAATATGTAGAAAATGTTTTTTCAAGCCATGTACATATACATAGAGAACTATCAAGCCACAACTAATTGCATATCTCTATATCTTTACAATTCTCTTATTAAATTATAGTTGGAGAATATACTAAACCTTATTTTGTTTTGACATACACCCTGTCAATTCATTCAAATTTTTTTATATACAATTATTTTATGATGTCCATAATATTATGTATACTGGAATGTATATGATATAATAAATATGTGTAGTTGTGTTGTGTATGCACTATCGCGTGTAAAATCTTTTAAATTTGAAAGCATTTGTCACGTATTTTTTCCTATGAAATTATATTTTTGAATTTTTCTAAGTCAATTTGTTATTATCAATTTTTATAAATAAAATAAGAGTGTACGTCAGTATAAATACAATAATATAAATGTAATGATGTTGTATGTATGACTAAAATATATTTAAGTAATTTATATGCGCAATTATTTGAATATCATATAGATAATAACATAGTATTTTAGATTCAAACGCAAACTTAAGTACCGAGAAACTATAATATCAAATTCGATATTTCTAAGTTGCATACGATCTTTTAAAAAAATCCTTGTATATATTAAAATGTATACATATATAATAAACTAAATTAAATTTTTCGGAATCTAAAGCATTCATCTGTTACTTGATTTTTTTAAAACTCTAATTTTTACATTGCAGCGAAACACTATGCTATATTGTGCTTTTCACTTGCTTGTTACTACACTAAAAAATTATAACAAAAATAGCCTTATTGAAGTTCATCCTAAAAAACGTGAAAACATGTTATTAATTTTACATTACAATCAAAAGAATTTAAGGAAAAAAAACTGCAAAATAATTAGAAAATGTAAAATATTTTTTGAAACTTAAATATTTTTTCGCCCAGAAATCATTAAACAGTGCAATTTAAGAACAATAAATTAAGAAAATTTAAAAGACGTTATCGTTCTTGATATAATCTCTTAAATTCACGTGCTTCAGCAGTAACTTGCACCTAAATTTTTAAGTTAGTTCGTGTTAAAATTAAAACAAAATGTAATATAATTTTTAAGACTATAAAATAATCTACATTTTGCTATTAACGGGAAACTCATTTAATGTCTTAGAACTAAGAGAAATTTTGGAAAACGGCGATTTTTGGTTGCTTACGAAAAATAATAGTAAAACTTCTGTTTAGAACATTCCACGTATATAATAAACATTTCCATTTATCGAACAAAAAACTTTCTTATTAAACAGTTCGTTATGTATAAGTTTTACTATACTCTTTTTAATAATTCTCCTAAATTTATGCAAATTAAATGGTTTTTATTGTTTTTTAGTATTTGTTTTTAAATTTATTGAAAGTGAAGCCTACATTAAACAAGCTCTAGTGTTTATTTATTAACAGAAATATGCTATATTAGAAACTGTATGGGTTCATATAATTACAACACTATCTTGCCAATATTATGTTAAGTGTTAGTGAAACGGTGATTTACTATAGAACGAAAGACGAAGACTGTGATAATTTAAATAAAGCAAAAATTTTTTTAAGTGTTTTTATCAAAATTTCGTAATATTTCATATCAAAAATATAGTCGACAAGAGTATATTTTGCTCGATGGAAAAGCTGGACCCCGTTGGAAGTTTGAGGTGGCTGCTATACTATAATTTTTCAGGTACGTAGGTATTGTGCTAATGTAGGTGGGGCTGGAAATCCTATAGGTCGACGTAGGGAGGGCTGAAGGCCTTCAGTCCTCGACGGGGGAAAAAAAAAAAACAAAAAGTAGTAGACAACAAAGTAATAAGCTCTAAGTCAAAATTAACATATGAAAGTAAAAATTTTCCTTTTTTTGACTTTTAATAAAATAGAATGTTTTTTATATTTTGCATAATGGAACCGATAATATACTTGCGCATTTTTGACCAAGCGTATGCGTAACGCAATATAGCTGATTTTTAAGGTTAAAGTGGTATATTTTTTTAATGCGTGCATACATACAAACAGACTCTAAAAAAAATTAGTTTAGGATCATTGAATCGTAGAATTTTTTCAATTACAAACCATAAATTAATTCCATCTATGATACTCACATTTTGCTCTATTTTATAATATTTTAAAGTAGTTACAGCTTGACTTACTATAGCACGAACTACTTCGATTACAATATTTAGATAATTTTTTTTTGTTTCGTTCTTATTGTTCTTGCAGTGCTCAGTATATTCATTCATAATTAAAAGAAAAGTACTATTAAAATTTATTCACATCTGCCACTTTTTTATTTCAAAATTCATATACGCTTACATATACAAAATATTTTGTACCATAATACATATAGACAGATTCTTAAATGAGAATAAAAATTATTATCTAAATGTCACATTAAATTTTATCCTAAAGTTCTATGTATTTGTATTGGTTTTGAAAATAAAAATTAATATGCATACGTATATGTGTAGTGTTTGTAATATCTTCTACGCTACACTCTTATCTATACTACAAATCACTTTATATATTTTTTTTCTAAAATCTATATATACAATGGCCATGCGCTTGTATATATTACATTATATTATATTTATATACAGAAAAATTTTTCAGGGAGATGGTAGAAAAACGAATAGTGGTTAGTTAGAAAAAAATTTAAACTAGCTATGTATATGTTTTGATGTTCGTTCCTTTTAATGTCAAAAATTGAAATATAGAAGATTGAATTGGGTGCCTATGTATGTAGAAATATTATGTATGTTGAGGTTAAATAGAATAAAATGTCTGCAGATATGAAATATGATTTTCCCCTTTTACATTTTTTACCAAAATAATTATTATAAAAATAAATTGAACAATAAAATCAGAAAAAAAAGGACTCAAAAAAAAAATTAAAATGCTTTGAGGTTCTTTTACTACTTTTGTAATGAAATGTAGTAGAAAAACGTTCAAAAAAATTTTTTTATGATTTTCGATTTTTGTTGCCTTGTTCTTACAATTTTGTTATTGCGATTTTGTTTGTTTTTCCAATACACATTGGGAATTTTTCATTTTTTTTTTTGTTTTTGATTTTGTTTTATTTTTTCTTTCTAGATTTGTATAGTAATAATTTTCTAATAAAATGTATAACAGCGCTTTACCATCATCATAGCACCAGAAATTGTTATTATCACACTGGTGAAATATGGTAAGTTGATGATTTTTCATGACAGTTGAATTACGGTGGTTCTGATAGCGACGGGTTTTTCTCGTTTTTTATTATCATTTTTCATTGTTTTGTAACATTTTTTTTTTTATTATTATCGTCATTTTGTTAGTTTTTTTTCTGTTTTTTTGTATTGTTGATTTATTTAACTTTAATAATAAATCATTATGAATATTTTTAGTTTTTTTTTTTTGTTGTGTTCCTGAACAAATTGTTATTAATGTTATACTCGTGTTCGTGTAGAATCGATACAAAAACAAAAAAAAAACAAAATCAACAAAATTAGTTAATTTTTTTATTTCCTAAATATTGTACAAAAAACAGAAATGTTAAAATAGCATTTGGAAAAAAGAATAATGAGACAGAAAATTAAAAGTTATGGAAAAGTTAAAAAAAATAAAAATGGTGTAGCAATATTTTCATATTTATAATTTAAATACAATAGAAATATTATTTTAGATCCTGTTTATCCTTTTGAATATACGTATGTATGTATAATAGACATACATTATTAAGTAAAATATGAAAACAAATTATAGTAAATTAAAAACATAGTTAAATAATAAAACAATGGTAGAAATTTTTCTGTCATTATGAAAATAAATTGCTGTCATTTTATATCGAATTTTTTCTCTCCTATACAGTGGATACGAAATAATAATGTAAGTTTAAATTAAAGGAGCTTTTTTTTTCCTATACATATAATATGAAATCGTATATAAGTAGATGTAAGTATATATATATATATATAAATTGTGCAGTATATGTAACATTAATATTTTAAAATTCGTTCAAAATTAAATAATAAATATTTAAAATAAATGCAATCAAATCATTAAACAAAATTATATTACATACATTCATTTATACTGTATACAAGTAATTTGGATGTGAATTAGAAATAATGTGATTGATGGTAATAACGACTATAGAAGACACTATTCAACTTCAATATTTTTAATGATGATTAATGTCAAAGAGTAAAGTAATTACAAAAAATTAATTGATTACTTTTAAAAAAAAATTTATTTATTTTGTTTCTATACTTTTAACTTTAATTGTTATAATTATAACAATTTTTTTTTTCTTAATTAATGTTCATGTACATATCAATATTTTTACATTAATTTTCATTACGATTTTCAAATACAAATAAATAAATTTCATAGCTATTTTAAGGCAGATGAGTGTACCATTAAAATTGAAATACAAAATAAATGAGGACAACATTGGTTATATTTTTATATATGAAAACAAAATATGTTAATTAAAAAATTTAAAATCCAATATTAACTATTTAATGTTAAATAATAACACGAAAATTCGGGAGAAAAATTTAGAAGATATTAGTAGCATACAAAGAGCTTAAAATCAAACGCATTCAAATATTGTAATTTTAACTAGAATATTGTAACATTATTAAAATTTCATTTAAAAGATTTATTTTACAAAATTATTGTCATTGAGAAAATAATACAACTAAATTGGAAATATTTAGCTCGTGCCAAAGTGATAGCGCTACTCAAAAAAAGAACCTCATCACCTTTATGATAAGCACTTTTGAAAAATACTTTTACCAACAAACTTTCTTTTTGTGAATAATTTGATTTTTGAAATTTGTGTATAATCTACACATAAAACAAAAAATCTTTGTGTTATTGCCAAGCTAAGAAGTAGGAAATTGTACAACACAGCTTTATACTCAATACAAAATTGCTATACTTGAATTTCAATTTATTTATATAATTAATTTTTCGCGCCTTCTATACTTAATTTCCCTTCTATTAATTCTCAAATTAATTAAAAACTCTATATTACTTTATTCAATTTACATTGTTTTTCTTTTGACAAATTAATATGCGCAATACTTACTTGATTTTGAAATAGTCATAAACAGTAGCTTATTATAAACCAATGACGTGAGATATACATACATGAATTTTTAATACTTAATAGCAATTTGATTGAGGATTATACTTTAAAACCACTTTTGATAATGTTTTTTTTTTTAACACTTAATTCAAAGAAAATTTATTAAAAAAACAAATAAAAGTAACAAGTATTAATAATTGAGATGCTATTTTTTCTCTCAACTTTTCATGTGTATGAAAATTAATAATAATGGCATCAGTTTATTAAAAACAAAAAACAAATATTTGTTTTCATATGATAAACTTGAAATTAATGAGCTAAAAAAAAAATTTTTTTACAATATCTTGAATAAATAAAGCTTATAGTTTAATGCTTATTAAAAACAATTAATTAACCTTCTTATATAACCGTTTACTTTTATATGCGCTTAATATACGACGAATATAGTAAAAAATTATTGTTTATCCTCCTATACTTAAAAACTTAAAAACTTCTCTTTGCTTCGAGCATTTGAACAATTTTTAATAAGAAATTAATAATTTTATTACAAATTATTTAAAAATTTTTATAAGAAAATGTATTGAAATTAATAAGTAATTTAATTTTGATATTTTATAAATTTTTTTAATTAAAATATGTGTAATGGTAGCATAAAGATAATATTATAATTAAATTTCCATTTTCGTAGAAAATAGATTCCATACTGCAGATGCATACACTAAAATATTCATTAAATGTTTCTGAAAAATTAAAATACCCTAGCATAAACATTAATAATATATCCCATAGATTGTGGTAGTATCAAAATTATTATTTGCTCTAAAAATATTTTAAAATGTACAATTTAAAACACCTTGATACTTGTTTTCTCTCATAAACAAAGTAGGTATTACTTTGACTTGCACGTCACCTTTATTTTACTAATTTATAGGGCGTAATCTAACTCTTTTGTTGAGTAATGGTCTTTGAGAGGCATCATTCACTAATTTTTCTTTCATTCTGTTAATACAAGCATTGTTGAACGTATTTAAATTTGTTTAATTATTCTAATAATTTCCAACAATTTTTTTTTGCAGTATAATACTAATCTTATATTCAATCGATAAATCAAAATTTTTATAGTGAGTGTTTCAATGTTTGCAAAGCATGCAAAATATTGTATCGGTGTTTAGAATATTTTTTTAATAGGCGTCTATAGAATAGTGTTCTCTGTTCTTTGTCTTCCTTAATTATGGTTATGGGTATATACAAAATTACCATAATATATATGTAAATCTATAAAGGCATAAATTAATTTGAATATATTGAGTGTATATTCTTGAAATTTGTAAATTTGCAATTTGCCTATCATAGGTAATTACATAAAATACGTTGTAATACATCCATGTGAGAAAAATGTGCTTATAAATCAGACTATAATTAAAATATGCCTAAATTAAACGTAATAAATTAATTAATTAATTTGTAAAGTCAATTATGTAATTTTCGTGTCACAATACACAATAATCAGGAATAATTATCATAGAAAATATATAAAAATAGGCTGCTCATGCAAGAAATTTATTACATAATTGGTTGTCATAAGCGGAAAATAATAAATTATTTGTTATACCTATTTAGATTCAATTTAATCAATAAAATTTAAAATTTCATATAAAAGTAGGAGACAAAATTATTTTTCAGTATATACGCGAAGTTGTTTGTAGCCGCTTTCTATTTACATATACATATAACAAATTACCTATACAAATACATTCTTACTGTAATATTGTATTCAATTGAAACAAAATTCTCTTTATGAAACTTTGACGCATGAAGAAACAAACTCTCTGAGAATCATAAACGATTAAATGTATATTACAAAATATTGTTATTTATTACTTACATACATATGTACAAATGGATGTATTTTTATAAATTCAAACTTTCAGTTTTAAATCAAAATACATTATTAATGTAGAAAAGTTTATTTTATTCCAATAAAATTGTGTGGCGCACAATATAACACTTATATGTGTATATTAAAGGGGAGTTTTGTGTTTCATTTAAAATATATCCTTGTATATCCATAGATCATTAAATAATTTTGTATGTTATACCTATAAGTATGTTAACAATACATTTGTAGTACTTAATTCTAGATTAGTTTAAAATCATGTTTATAAAATTACAAAATAATTTTTACAAGGAAATATACATATGTACGTATGTATATATGAAATTATTTTGAATAATTCTGTAGAACTAATTAGAAGTGCTGTTCTTGCGAATTGAAAAATTTGAAAGATTATAAAAAAAATATTTAATGCATGTTTTTCTATATTATATTGCGTTGAAAAGTTCTGGCAACTTTCTAAATGAACATGTACATATGTACGTGTATGTAGTCACTTCATGTTGATTTTTAAGTTTTCAATGAATAAGTAATAAATAGCCAACTTAGAATTCCATAAAATTTATTTTATCTTAAATTGTTTAAGGTCTTAAATGTTTTTTCTGAAATCAAATCTAACTATTGGTACGAGTATTGGTTACAAAATGTTCAGTTATTGGCTCTTCACGCATATTCAAAAACTGGAAAATATAAAAAAAAATTATTACACATTTTCATATTTCCTAAGTTCTTTTTGACTCTGAATATAGAAATCGGAACTTCTGAGTGAAATTGGAAGCAATTTTAAGCTCATTTTTACACAAGTTTTTTTTTTATAAAATCTTAAATAAAGCGCATCGAAAAAGTAATTTCTGTAAGTATATGGTAAAGGAACATATATAATAAGAATTTTAAGTATTTCATGAGGACAATAGAAAATTAAGATAGTAACAGTAATAGCTATGGGACCATTTCATGAGAATAAAATACGAATTAAAGAAAGTTTAAATTTGAATGAAAGAAGGATTATCAAAATGGTTAAATGCAAGATCCTTCTTCACTTGGCTTAAATGTCAATTTTAAAATACACTCATATTTATTGATTATTTATTAGTATTGACTCTTATATACAATAATTTTTTTTTTATTTTCGTTCGTTCTTCCTTTGTTTTCTTAGACACAAACTTGAAATTATATGAAAGAAATTTGGATCTACTTCTGAAACTGACATAATGTTTCAGTGAATTTGAAATTCCATACGAATAAAGTTTTTTAAACTTTCAGGGACGATATTGTCTTCTATAATAAGAGATTTCCGGAAAGCGTTGTTCAAATTCATATGTATATGAGATTTTGACAGAAGATATGTGTCGTGATGAACTTTGGAATTCTATTATCATTATGTGCTAGGTCTGATTATAGTATATGCAGGAATAAAAAGTACTATTTAAATAAATTACTTGTATGTATCGTAATTATCTATGAAAATAATACTGTATGTAATTTTAATAATTCAAATATACTCTTAAATATTTTAAAGTATATAAAATGTGCTGTCATCATGAAATTTTTATACATTATCTATGATTACACTTAACATTTTTAGAATTTGACGTGTCCTTTTGCCTTTTATAATTTCGTATCGTATTTGATTTTTGTTTCTTTTTTTTTATTCACTTTTCATTTTATCCTTATATTTCCTTAAAATATCGTATGAATTTCTACTACATTCCTACGTACATACATATATACATGATTAAATACATACTAACATCGTATTTTATTTCTTTTTGATTATTCTTTTTTAAAGTTTCTTTGACATGTAATATCCGCCATGTTAAAAAAAGAATGAAAAGCAAAGGAAAGCAGAAAAGAAAAATGAAAGAACAGACAAGGAATAATCGAAATTCATTATGGGGAGCATATAGATTCAATGTTTTTCTCTTTGTATTTTCCTTTTCTTTCTTTTTTCCTTTAAATGGATTCATTTTTCTTTTTTATGTATTTTTTTCTTTAATTTTTTTTTTATGGCTTTCTCCTTATTTTCACGTACATGACTGTATATACAGAATTTGTGTATTGTATTCACATATAAAAATAAAAAAGAACTTTGTGGTTGTATTTTTGCAAGTCTATCAACTTATATAAGAAGTATGCCAGCAATTACACGAGTATGTTATGTGTGAGTCAATCTATACATAAAACCGCTAAGGCATTAGAATGCTTACACTTTTCCTCTATGCTCCTCGCTTCAAGTTTCAGCTTCTTTCTTAGTCTTCTTTGTATTACTTTTTACTTTAATTTTTTATTTCCCAAAATGAGTACAGCAAAAAAAAAAAAACAAAAAAATGAAAAAGTTTCATATTGAAAAAAAAAAATGGTAGAAAAATGAAAAGTTTTTATTTTTGATGGATTGTGGTGCTTTTCTTTTGCGGCACCATGTCGCATCATCATTATTATTATTGTGTTGATTGAAAAAAAAAAAACAGAAAACAACACAAACCAAAAAAAAATGAATTGAATCAAAAACAGAAACTCAACAAAACAAAAAAGAAAGCGAACAACACACTCACAAAAAGGAAAAAATTTCACAAAAAATAAACTTTTCGCGGTGACAGATAAAAAGGATATTTCTGTGGAACGAGATAAAAGTGAAAACAAGAAAAAAAGTAGAAAAATAAAAAAAAAAAAATTATTTTTTGATCGATTTTCATAAAACGTGATAATTTTTGAAGTTTGAAGTTGATAAATTGAATCTCATATTAATATGTTGTGTTGACATAAGGCTCAAAATATCAAAAATAAGAAAAAAAAAAACAAAATATAAAAACAGTTAACAAGAAAAATGTGTTTTTTTTTTGTTTTTATAACAAAAAGAGATACAAAAATAAATAAAAAATAACTGCTTTTTTTTACATCTAACACAAAATACCTACGACGTGTACAAAGGATTTTAAAACAGTGATTTTATATTGATTCCTCCTTGTATCGTTTCAATTTTTTTTTTTAAACTTCATACTTTATAATATTTTTTTTTATTTTTGATAGATTATAAAATTTTTTTTTCATAAATATTTTTGTTTTCTTTTTGAATTCGTAAAAAAATTACTTAAAGAAATTGGTTAACACAAGAAAAAGGAATAAAATTTTTTAAATTAATTTTTCCACATTAAATCTTACCTTTATTATAAAAAAATGGTTCCATTTAGTAAAATTTCTGCCGTCGGCATGATAAATTAAATAATTTGTTAGAAATAAAGTGCTATAAAAATTAAGAATATTAATCAATTTGTGATGTTGCCATATAGTTCGCTAAGAACTGATAGGAGTTTTGGGAAAATATTGAGGCGTTTTGTATAGCATGAAAGAAATAGAAAAATTCAGATGATATATATAAAATTGTTAATTAGATAGTATTTAAAATTTTATTTGTTAACTCATTTAACTGTTAACTGTTATAAATACCCTAAAACACGAATGTTAAGTAAAAATTATACAAATACAAAAATTTTTGTGATTTACCATATTTTTTCATTTAACAATATGTAAATAAGATATACTTAGTTTAAAATAGCGTAAATTATCTCAAATTCTGAGAAATTGTTCCAAATCAATAATTTAGAATAAAATATTTTCAAGATTAAATAAGAGTATATCCAACGTGTAAGACTATATTAATAATTCTTAAAGAACTTGATAACCAAATTAAAATATTTGAAAGATCATTAAGAAAAATTTACACATATAGAAGTCGCTGACTTTGTCATAGAACTTTCAGGTTTAGACATAGGAAAAAAAAAAGAAACGAATCAAAAAGCAAAATAATTTAGAAAAGGCACGAATCAATAACTTTTTCTGCTTTCAATAAAAGAAACTAATGGCGCTATATGGGGAAGTTCAAAAACTATTAAAAGAAAATCTCAATGTTATTAACAATCTAATAATTGGGTATTTACCGTAATGTAAAGTATATACAACTCAAGAACGTTTAAATATTAAAATGTAAAATTTCTGGAACTGATTAAATTTGTTAAATTTTTTCCTCATATTAAAATTTTACAAAAATTCAGTACTTTTGAAAACCTAATATTTCCATTAAAAGAGCGACGATAGAAACTGTTAAAAATTTGAAGCTTAAAAGAAGAAATATTTAGAAAAATAGCAAAACTGGCTGCATGAATTTTGGCAGTTATGTTGCCCAATTATATTATACCCTAGATTATATCCTTGAAGTTTTTGTGCAATGGCTTCACAGAATCATTGATACTCGTAGCTGCCATTCGACCCAAAACGTTAATTTTAAATATTTGAAAAACTAGTTTTTATAGTCAAAGTGCCAAGATGTAGGGTATAGTTCAGTCAATGAAGATCGACTCTTTTTATTCGAGTTTTTAGTTGTTATTTGACAAAATAGTTATATTTAAAATAATATTCTAAAAATATTAATGCGTGTGTATTTTCACCTACATTTTTTATGCAAAAAATTTTAATATATTTAATATTTTGATACTTCAATTTATTTTTATTATTTTTATTTACAATTTAAATAAATTCTAAAACAACAAGCAAATATTGAATTTAAAGAAAAAAAAAATCTCTCATATCAAATTATTTTTAAGCTTAAATGTCTAATATATACATACATACTTACACACGTAAAATCCTTTATAAAAAAAAATCACCTAAACGTAAATGGAGACACATGGTAAATACTACATTGTTCTGGCATAGTACCTCTCTGTAATATACACTTAATTTATGCAAATATATCTTAGATAACAATATATATACGTATGTATGTACATATAAACATATAAAGAGAATAGAGAAATGAAGAATGTTTAAAAATTTTGTAAGTAAGTATATACAAAATGCTTAGAGATAGCTAATACAAAAAAAACGGGGTATTATGTAGGTAATGATGCTCTGCAATGTGTCAAAATTCTAAATTAAAAGAAAATGAAAAAAGTAAAAAAATCAGCCTGTTGAAAATTTTCGAGTTCATCACTTGAACAGATTTAAATTTGAAGTTAAATATGTTTTTGCCCATTACAGATTAAAAAATGAAATAGAAAAAGAATAATATTTTTAATTACCTTCCATATTATGTGAAACGAAACAATGAAAAAAAGAAAATAGTTTTGTTTGTGTAATTGTTATTTTTGGGAGGTTATTAAACATTTTTTTCATTAGCTTCTTTTAGCTTTTTTTTTTTTCAACAATACTATACCACTTCATTTCTCTTATTTAAGTTATGCACGCCTAAACACTAATGTAAATTTTTATGTAAACTTTTAAAATTATATTTAATATTGTTACACACATGCTACTATATAGGAGTGTAAATATCCATTTACATAGACACATAGATATGTAAATACATTTTTCTATATGTATTCCAAAATTTAAAAAAAAAATTAACAGACGTGGTCACTTTCTATACCACCAAAACATCATGTGAGAGAAAAATTATAAATTTATTGATATTTTTCAGATCATTTTCATTGTTCAGCTGCCTTCTATACTACAAGAATTAAATGGCAAAATATATGTATATATATTTTGTAAGAATATAAGATGCAATTCTTATTATTTTCAAAATATATGTATGTATTCGCAATTAATATTCTTAATATATATGTATAGTAAATGTACTTGGTATACTTAATGATAAATAAGATACTGAAGTTCAAATTCTAGTAAGATTAATATTATAGGAAGCAGTAAATGCTTACGAAAGATTTAAGTAAGTTTACACTTAATGTTTAAATTAAAAATTTAAATGAGCCATTTGAAATGAACCTACCTCTTTCTTGTCAAGATTTATCTTCTTAATATTAATAATGAAATCATTTTGACCAACCGCTTACAATAACAGAGAGAAAGATATTTTTATCAAATTTCGCCGTTTATTTTCACAGCTTCAATAAATAAAGCTTGTAAACTCTTTTGAAAATAAACTCTTTTAAGGGGCCAAAGTTACATTTTCACCCATATCTAAGGAAATAATAAACTTCCTTCAATTTTTATGATTCAGCTACGCGATTTGTCAAAAAAATTAAATAACACACTTTTTCCCTAACACTATGAAATGCTTAGATTAGTCATATGTGAAATTGAAAGCTTCTAACTTGCTCGCTACAAGCTGCATTTCTGCATCAATTCATGTCATCGAAATAAATAAATAATTTCCTCATAACTGTAAAAATTAAATCAAAATAAGTTCATAATAAAGGTTATTTAAATTGGTCAATATTCATTAAACACAGATCGAGACAAACACCAACCCGTTCTATACACATTTGGTTTTTTTTTTTGATAGTTATTCATTTTGAATTTTTTAACCCAATAACTAAAATAAACTCCACACGCCATAACAACACAATCCTTTTTTTTTTGTTAACTTCTCTTTCTCGTAATTTTCTATCTCTCTCTATCTCCTTCCTTCTATTTAAATTTCAATTTCATTTCAACTGGATTCGAAAAGCGTTTTTTATTTCCTTATCGTTTTTGTTGTTGTTTCTTTGCCATTATATTTTTAATGTTTGAATAATTTATTTGAAAAGTTTACTTTTTCTATTGCTCTCTCTTTTAATTTTTTTTTTTCAAATTTTTTCTTATTTTCACATTTCAAATGTTAATTTTCGACAAGTATGTGTACATTATTAATATTTTCAACAAATAAACATCTAATGTTAAAAAAAAAAATAATTTATTTTTTTTTTCTTTGTTTTTAGAAAAGCTGAGCACATAACAAGTTGTGAAAGCACTTAAATTACTGAAGTTAATAATATAGTAGTATGTATCAATAAACGATGAAAATCATCATAATATGCTGTATAAGGCTTTGATATATGGGAAGTATCCTATCCATTACGTATAACAATACGTACGTGAATATTGTAAGTACACACAATTGTAGGTACCTACTACACAGTTTTTTTTTTTAATTGTAAAGTAAAGCTACAAATCATTTAAGAATCGAATATGAACGATACAGACTTATATATATATATGTATGTACATTTGAATAAATTAATATAGATACATGAAATATATAATATACATATGTGCATAGGTATTGTAAATTTTAAAATTTTTAAGAGTTTTAAAATATAATAACCATTTGTATACTTAAAATTGTATACAAAATTGTACGTACGACCATGTACGTAGATATTTTTCTTGCGTATTTTAGAAATTATATTAATAATATTTACACAAACGTATACATTCTTTTATACGGAAGTTAATATATTTTAATGTAATATTAATTGCAATTCAAATGTAGAGACATTGTGGGGGTTAGTAATACGAGTACTAGAAGGATAACTTAGAAGTTATCTTTCAAGCATAATATTGATTATGTATATATGTATGTACGTACATATAATTGTATAATAATAAAATTCAGCTCGACAAAATGTACAATGTAACCATATATATGCCCACATATTATGTGTAAGAAGTTTGTTTAAATTAGAAGTTCAATAAAGTATGGAATTACAAAAATAATAGAAAGGAATAAATATTAAAATTCCCTAACTCGAACTTATATAACAGGTCATTTTTTAGAAGTTTTTTAATTTATAATACCTATTATAAATCTAGATTGAATTCCATTTCATTTTTATAGCTTAATTTACATATTGTATTACAGTTTTCGAAACGATGTACACATATATGTAATACTAAAATATAAATTTTGAAAATAGAGAAAATACGATTATATTATATGTTGTACTTTTTGAATAACTACGAAATATTAAGAATTTTTCACGGGCAAAACTTGAAATTGCCAAAAACTTGAAATATATCTGATTATTATATACTCTTGATTGCTATTTTGTATATGTGTATGTTAAAATAACCAATTATTAATGTTATTAATTATATAAATGTGTATTTGAAGGAATTTCCCTTTCTCAACTACAAATTAATTAAATCTATTTCATGGAAATTGATGCGTCAATGGTGGTGCTATCACTATTCGCTATAATTTTTAATTTATAGGGCTTAAATGAGTTTCACTTTATTTATAGTTGGTTTATATACATACATGTGTTCATTAAGTGTAAATCTAATTCATTAATATTAAAAAAAAATTATAAACTGAATATATGTATGAGAATCTTTAAAATATATTTTTGATAATTAATTGAAAATTCACGTATTTGGTGTACGCGTTTATAAAACAAATTCTACTTTTTTTTTTCGTTTTGTAACCCGATTTTCCTCTTTCTCTTGGTCTGCTATTTTTTTTTTTTGTGTTTCTTTAGTGTGCTATATGTGAAATACGTGCTATAGTATACATAATGTATACATTATGTATAAATGTACATATATACGCATGTAAAACTTAGTTAGAAGAAATGTTATTTATAAATAATTAAATGTACATATGCATATACATACACACATTAGGTTTATCATATATTGATTTTGGTAATAATTTTAAAAGTTAATAATAATTTTCAAGAGGATGTGATATGCAAACTTTTTAAAACTTTTTTTTTATAAAGTCATAGGTACATAACGCTCACATATTGATATGGTACTCACATTTCCATATATACAAGTACATACATATCTGTGTATATTTTAAATGCTGTTTAAATATAATTTGATGGATAATTTTTTTAGTAAATAAAATATTAGATTTATAATATTAAATACTGTTTTTTTTTGGCTTTTGTTTCTTTTAAAAAAATCTGTTAATTTTAGACAATAATTCCAAAAAGGCAAAATGATTTTAGTGTACATACATATATCTGTATGTATATGATATAAAAAATGCTTACATATTATAGCTCTATATAGTTACAAAAATGTTTAAGATAAAATGAAATTTTGTGATGTGAATAATCATCATCAAATTCTCTTCTCCACCATAGATTCATATACATACATATATACATATAGTATACGAAAATCAGAAAATATGAAGTTAATTATTTTGTCAAATTTGTAATATCTATTGGCAGCTTATTTAAATGTTTAATTTGTTTTGATTTGTTGACATTGAATTAATATATTTAAATATATTTATAAATTTTTATTTGTTTCTCACTTATTAGCATTTTTTGTTTTTTTCTTTTGTATTTAAAAACTATGATCTATTAAAAATTTAAGCTAGAAGAGAGAAAGAAAGAGATAGAAAATTTTAAGTTTACATAAAAAATTTAAATAAAATGGAAAATTATTTTTAATAATTTTTTGTTTTTCAAATTAGTTAATAATATTGTTTGTGAGTATGTATACCTACAAACATACACAATTTTCAATATAAAATTTAAAATCTGCGTGGTTTAATGTGATATTTATTAAATAAATTTAACCGTAATAAAGTAGTTTAATATTTCTTTTATTATTATTTTTTTTTTTTCACTTTTGCTGTTATTTATTTATAAACGTTTTATTTTTACTAGGTTATATTTATTTTAATTATCTAAAGTATAATTTAAAAAACAAACTTATTATTATTATTATTATTGTTTTTTTTTTTGTTGGTTAATATATTAAAAGTTAGGAAGTCAAATTTTTGTCAATATATAATTTGACAACAAAATGTCAATAATAATAATAATATAAGAGTGCCTATTATATGGTATTAGACTATCAGAGTATAGATTGTAATGGAAGCGTATATTGTATGTTTACGGTTAATTAATTGATATAGATTTGTACATTTATTAATTATATAAATAATTTAATTAATATATGTATATGTACAAGTTTTTGTTTTTTAAATATAATGTGATAATAAAAAAATTAATAAGATATAACTATTTTTTTATAATTTTGTTTATTAATAAAATTTGAAATTGATCAGAAATTTGGTTTTGGTTCTTCTGCTTTTAATTGTTTTCAAAACGAAAAACAATATATTTGGCAACACTTGAATTTTTAAATAGAACATTTAAATATAAAATATATATGTATGTACATATATGATATTTATTCGAGGAAAATTAAAAATACAATTTCATAGTTTTCAACAGTTGGCACTTTATAATTTCCACTAGAAATAATTTTAAATTTACAATATTTATTGCTATGTTTTGGTGTTTCCCCGGAAAGCAATGAGGCAAAGAAAATAATACAATCTCTGTGTAGAACGCAAAAAAATTTACATAAATAAAGAAAGTTATTTCTCTCTTCAACTATAAAGACCAAAAAAAAATCAAAAATATTTGATTCTAATGTTCCAAATACTTACATATGTATATACTTACTACCCAATACTTTCCAAACATTTTCTATTATATTCATATCTGGGCTGCACGCTGGCCATAATAAAGCAATACTGTCATTATTTGCAAACCATTACAAAGTGTATCTAGCAACATGTGAACAAACATTATTTTGCTAGAAAATGACTCTACGTATATAATGGCATTTCTTTCTTCATAAGTGGTAACATTTTACTTTCTGAAATCTCGACGTATCCATTTATGAAATCTGTTACAATATGGAAAGGTTTATTACCATAGCAAGAAATGCCTCCCCAAATTGTTGCCTTTTCTGCCCCATATTGGGTTATCCATACACAGGAGATGTTATATATTTTAAATAGTAGATGTTCAACAGTTTTTCAAGAATTTGGAAAAGGTTGGAATATGCTTTCATCTGAAAAGAGAACTCTCCTCTGATCTACGTCAGTCAATACCTTGTGGTTTTTGCACTATTCTAATTTTCTTTAACATTTTGTTTTGTTAGCATTATTTTTTAACAAAGTTCTTTTTAAGTTCTCGCTGCATTAAACTTGTCGCACATGGCCTGGTGAAATAATGGTACCAGTTTTTTTTAATATTCTGCTGTACTCAAGCTGCTTGCAGTTCGATCGAGTCTAACGATACGATATAACATTCTGTTTACACGTTACTTTCTCATTGCGACCGAACAGAGTTTTATAAAATACGCTACTAGTTTCTGTGTGCCTCTTTATTGTACGACGGACAAAAATTTCACTTATGCCTAATTTATTAGAAATAGCTCTTTCAGAAATGTCGCGTTTATGAACGCCAATCACTTGAAATATTTAAAATATTTTTCCCAATAATTTCCTCTTATTTATGCAAAGTGTAAAATAGAACTTATCAAAAATGGAACGCGGGACTAACATTTTTAATAATTATGGCCGGATTAATAAACATTTGTTTCCGGACGGCGACCGGACAATAAAAGCGGCTATCTTAAATTTATACACAGCTCATTTTTTTTATATTTCTTTTACGATTACATTTTATATTTTTTAATTGTTACACTATTAATGTAAAATATAATATTGTTTAAATAACAATTTGATAAATAAACAAATTGTGAAAGTCAAATGCTACTGAATTTTCTTTTTTGGTCTTAAATATTTGTGCAAAACTGTAATTGTTATTTCAACAATTTGAACGCATTTAAATCCTAGATCCTTAAAAACTATGAATTAAATAGAGTTCATAAAATGGGAATTTTTTTTTATTATTAAATTTTTCAAAATAATATTTTCTCCACTAGCCACAGCATTTATTATCCATATGCCCCATGTCAGTATTGTTTAAATTTCGTAAGAACGTATTAGAACATCTACATAACATGTGCATACATACATACATATGTATTTTGTTTCCAATTCCCAAATATGTCTACATAATCTGCACATATGCCTGTATACAATGATCGTATTTTGTTATAAAGTATAATAATGTATATAAAAGATATGTAATATACATATATATAATGTAAGTTAAATTTTATAATAAATTTAAGTTAAAAAATTTCAATTCACCGAGTCAGACAATAACACAAAAACTGTGCACTAAATAAACAAATCCAAATAAAATGAATTAAAAATAAAATATAATGGATTGAAATTGTGACGTTCATTCGTACATATATAAAAGATATATAT